CAATCTTAAGAAAGAAGAACAAAGTTGGAAGCATCACACTTTCTGATTTCAAACTATATTACAAAAGCTTAGTAATCAAAACCGTATGGCATTGGCATAAAAACAGACACATAGGTCAATGGAACAGAATAGAAAGCCCAGAAGTAAACTCACACATATAGGCAATTAATTTAGGACAGTAAAGCCACAAATAGGCAATGGGGAAAGGACAGTCTCTTAAATGATGTTGGGACAACTGTACAGCCACATGCAAAAGAATGAAGCTGGACCACTATCATACCCATACACAAAAATTAACTTAAAATTGATTAAAGATTTGAACATAAGACCTGAAACCATACAACTCCTAGAAGAAAACATAGGCGATAAGCTTCTTGACATTGGTCTTGGTAGTGCTTTTTTGGATCTGACACCAAAAGCAAAGGCAACAAAAGCAAAAATAAACAACTGAAACTACATCAAACTAAAAGTTTCCATAGCAAAGGAAATCATCAACAGAATGAAATCATCAACTACTGAATGGGAGAAAATACTTGCAAATCATGTATTTAATAAGGAGTTAATATCCAAAACATGTAAAGAACTCATACGACTAAAAAGCAGTAAAACAACCCAATCAAAAAATGGGAAGAGGATCTGAATAGACATTTTTCCAAAGAAGACCTACCAGGGGACATCTGGGTGACTTAGTTGGTTAAGCGTCTGACTCTTGATTTTGCTCGGGTCATGATCTCCATGTTTGTGGAATTGGGGCTCTGTGCTGAATGTGTGGTGCCTGCTTTGAATTCTCTCTCCCATTCTCTCTGCCCCTCTCCTGCTCGTGTGCATGCAGGTGCATATGCACACACGCTCTCTCTATATATGTATGTATATTTGTATATGTATTTATATATATTTATTTATATATATATGTTTATATATATAAAAACATAGGAGCACCTGGGTGGGTCAGTCGGTTAAGCGTCAGGCTTTGGCTCAGGTCATGGTCTCCTGGCTCTTGATTTAGAGCCCTGCTTCCAGCTCTGTGCTGACAGCTTGGAGCCTGGGGCCTGCTTTGGATTCTGTGTCTGTCTCCTTTTCTCTGCCACTCTCCCGCTCATGTTCTTTCTCCCTCTTTCAAAAATGAATAAACATTAAAAATTTTTTAAAGGCCATACAGATGGCCAACAGGTTCATGAAAAGGAGCTCAGTATCACTCATCATCAGGGAAATGCAAATCAAAGCTACACTGAGATATCACCCTACACCTGTTAGAATGGTTATTATCAAAAATGCATGAACTAACAAGTGTTGGTGAGGATGTGGACAAAAGGGACCCCTTGTGCGCTATTGGTGGGAATGTAAATTGGTGCATCCACTATGGAAAACACTATGGCATTTTCTCAAAAAAGTTAAAAATAGAACTACTATATGATTTAGTAATTCCACTATTGGCTATCCAAAGGAAACAAAACACTAACTTGAAAAGATACCTGTACCTTCATGTTCACTGCAGCATTATTGACAATAGCCAAGACATGGAAGCTACCTAAGTGTTATCAGTGGATGAATGGATAAAGAAAATGTGAAAATATATATGTATGTTTATCTACTATATATAAAGGAGTATTTTATATATATATATATATATATATATATATATATATATATATATATATATATATATATATATATATATATATATATATATATACATTCATTCAACAAGAAAAAGAAATTTGCCATATGTAACAACATGGATGGACCTTGACAGAATTTGAAATACATCCGTAGAGAAAGACCAATATCATATATTCTCAAATACATGTGGAATCTAAAAACAAACAAAAACCAGAAATACCTCATAGATACAAAGAACAAATGAAAAGTTTCCAGAGGCAGGGGATGAAGGGATTGGTGAAATGGGTGAAGGCAGTCAAGAGATACAGACTTTTCAATCATAGAATAAATAAGTCCTGGGGATATAATATACAGTATGATGACTAATACTGTGTTATATATTTGAAAGTTGCTAAGAAAGTAGAACTTACAGGTTCTAATAAGAAAAAAAATTATGTGTGGTGATGTATGTTAGCTTATTGTGATAATCATTTCGAAATATATCCAAATACAAATTACTGTGTTGTACACCTGAAACTAATGTTATGTCAATTGTATATCAATAAAAATAAAAAATAAGCTTAAGAAATGAAGTTTGAACATATAAAAAAGCTAAATTTTTGTCAAACTAATTTCATGCTTTGTCTCTGTTCTGTGTTCATGTGAGGTTATGATGACGTGATCTAGGTTTTCAGTTGTCATTAAAAAAAAAATTTTTCCCCTTCTCACTGGGCGCCAGAGAATGTGGTGGAATCTGATTCCAAGTAATGAGGATATTATCACAAGCACTCCTACAGGAACCATAAAGGATGTTAGGTCAGGTCAAAAAGGAGAGAGATGGCCTATCCAGGTCACCAGTTGGGCATGACCCCTGGACTCTTAGAAACATTAATACATATCTGCAGCATCCAAATGTTTTTCTTTTCCATATTATAATTTCTCTTTGTTCCCCTCAACCACAAATGTAGATAAAAATGTAGAGCCTGGATGGAGCTGTGCTTTGAGGAACTAAGGGAAGGGCCTGGGTCTCCGCTCGCCTAAGGCAGCACAGAAAGGACAATAGTTGACCAGGAAAGATGGGCAAAATATAGAAGCGGGTCACCATCAGAAGTTTTAGGAAAGCAGCTGTCTGTTGACTGCTGACACAGATTATTGGATAGTGCTACAAGTATTCGTCAGAATCCCTCAGATGGGGAGGGGAGTCAGGTGAAAAGGTGTGCTTTCTAGAGTACACACAATGCGGAATTGTCACCTGAGCTTTACAAGAAACTCGGACCCTTGGAACACGGAGATTTCATAGCCCAAGTTACATCTGCTTTCTCCTGCCCACATTAAAACTGGCCACCTGCCCTACCATAGACTATCATAATCTGGTTTAAACTTCATTTGCTGGAATTTGAGATTTTATAAACTTTTGATTACTTGACAATTTATAAATGTTTAGCAATCGATATTGTGTCTAGATTTCACTTGTGTTAAGGAGTAGCAAGAGACCTTCTGCCCAGGGAATGAATCTGGCCCTATATTTTATGGTTAGCACCATTTAATTATTCACTGGATAAACATTTATTAAGCATCTACAACCAACACTAAATAAGATGACCATTCCATGATGTCAGGATGTAATAGGAGAAAAGACATTTTCATCAATAATGATTACACAATTTTGGAATTCATAATAGAGGTCAGTTAGGGGCATATACCTATTGAGTGTCTTCCCCATCACTTTTTACCACAGGAAAAAGCTCATGAAGAAATGGAAAATGGAGACTGAGTCATACCTGAGGAAAGATACAGGTTCTACTACTTAACCAGATCTAGAGCAAATTTTCTTTGCTTCCTCATGAACAAGATGGAGGTTTCATAGGGAAGTTGGGAGGATTAAGTTGAGACAATGAATGCAAAGTATTTAATACAGTTCCTAGCACAGAATGAATAGCATTAATATTACACTTGCTTTGTGCTGTCTTCACTAAGTAATATCTACCACCTCTAAGCTCCATTACCTGTAATTGGAGAGATTGCTTCAGATGTCAGTCAACAAGTTATTAGTTTCAATAAATTTTAAAAATAGACAAAATTTTAGTTTTGTACATATACTTAGCACTGTGGTAGGGGCCTCTATACTATTATAAAATTAGTATAAATAGAGTTTGCTAAGTCTACATGATGTTCATCAGACATGAGATATTTGGAGATCTGAAATTCATCCCATGAAGATTAGTACAGAGGAAATGCTATGAAAGCTTCTCTAAAAGAAAAAGAAATGAAACCTTTTCGATAAAGAGTGAGGATGGCTATAGGAAGGTCTTGGAAATACCAGGAAGTAATAAATTGTATATACATATGTCATATTAAACATCTGCCAGATTTGATAAGGTACATGACTTCAACACTTGCCCCTTGACAATCAGGGTCTTCTGGTTTACCAGGTATAGCACATCCCACAGAGTCCCAGAACAAAGTAGACTCAATAACTATGCCAAGTGGAATCTGAAGAGATGTATAATCTGAATAAAGTTTTATTTATTTTTGGATTTAAACACTCCTCGTTTTCTGAATGCACATTTATAGGACAAATTGCTCACATTAAAAACTGTCCTCATAATATGTAGTGGTATTGCAATGAAAAAACAAGTGAAAATAATAAATGTAGGTACATGTGGTAATGTATGTCAAACAGCCTACATGAAAGATGACGTGTCCTAAAAAAGTTCCTGGTGAATGGAAAAAAATGGCCCAAGGCAGACAATGATGTCTATAGATGTATATGAAGAGTTCAAATGAAACGTGGAAAAGTAAGTAGTAAAACATTTACTATATTAAATAAATAAAACCTCAGTTACTAAAATGAATAATAAAAGCAGATGAATCCCTGCTCCTACATGAGTATATTTTTACGGACTGAATAATTCTAGTTAGAGCCACTGGAGCTATCAATTCCCACTTCACCTATACATCCCTGAGCCTTTCATTCCCACTCAGTGCTTGAGATGTTTGATATATTTGACTTCTTCCTCCCTCTTATGGCTCTGATTCCTCCTCTTCCTCCTCTTCCTCTTCCTCCTCTTCCTCTTTCTCTTTCTCTTTCTCTTTCTCTTTCTCTTTCTCTTTCTCTTTCTCTTCCTCTTCCTCTTCCTCTTCCTCTTCCTCTCCCTCTTCTGATGGAGGCTCTTCAGCTGCCTCTTCTGCAGCAGGTATTTCAGGCTCTGGGGGCTTTACCACAGCCTTTTCTGGACCCTTTTCTGTGGGTTCTGGATGAGCTTCTTTTGTACATTTACAAAGGATGATGACACAAACAATTATCAATACTGTGCCCAAAAGTATCAGGAGTAATATGAGCAAATAGTCTGAGAAATTTTCTTTATCTTTGTGAACAGTGGTAGTGTTTTGAGTTTCACCTGGGTGTGGTGCACTAGGAGAGCCACTGTCCACACTACCCCCATTTCCTGCAGTTTTGCAGTTGGGGGGTGCATAGCCAGCCTCACAATGGCAGTGCTTTAAATTGTTGCAAACTCCTCTCCCATTACACATTTGCTTCGGTTCACAGTCGTAGTTGAGCACAGCATGATCAGTGCAGGAGCGATTCATACAGATTTTCTCTGGGGCACAAAGAGTGCCAATGTGCACATATCCATTATCAGGGATATCAGTAATGTCATAGACATCCATGCTCCAGCAGAAATCATCTTTATGAGGGACCTGAATCATTGTTTGATTAGGTTTAATTTCTGGTACATGTTTAATATTTGTACATATGATTTTCCCACAATATATGTTTTCATCCTCACATTTAATGTATTCTGACCTAGGTGATGTGGGAAAGCCACAGTTTCCAAATCGGTCTCCTTTGGTGTTCATGGAAATGTAACAGTCTTCTGGGGCAGACCTTGCAGGGTACCCAAAGACATGTAGACATTGAATATCCGGGGTCCTGCACACACCCTGAACACAATAGTGAACTCTTTCACAAGTTGTACCATCTTGCTTGTATGTGTCGTGGGGGCATATTGCAGTTGTACCATCACAATATTCAGGAAGGTCACACTCTCCAAGAGCAGGACGACATATGAATCCCTTTTCTGCAAATCCACATGTTTCATTACAGCAGGGTCCAGGACTACACTTTGCATTTTCCTTCAGCCTACATGTTTGGTCACAGCACCGGTTATTACCACAGTCAGGTCCACAGTCACACTCCTCATTGTCCTCCAACACACCATTTCCACACTCTGCATTCCTCACATGAAGGCGATCGGTTTGGGGCGAGCTTGGTAAATAGGCAGCTTGCTTTATTGTTCCGGAGGAACTGGTAGAAGTAATCAGAGCTACCTGTTGCTACCCCTTTTTGGTGATATTTTTGCACGATGACATGTTGCCATCTTACAAGCGGCCGGCAGGTCGCGTTAGATCACTCACCAAGATTGTGCCCAAGCTTCAGTGCCATGGCGCCTGTACAAACAGGAGGGGACGCTCTTTCATGATGGAAGGACTCAGGCGGCGCATAAGCCACTTGAACAGGCACCACCTGAGAAATGCCGTCCACACGTCTCCTTCAGGACGACCGATGCCATCTGGGCAACATCGCGCTTATCACCGGACGGGAGAGCTTCTCCGCCAGCTGTACCGATTGAGGTACTTTGCAAATCCGCGGGACTTCTACAGGTCCCTCTCGCGTCCAAATCTCCATTCAGCCAGCACCACCTCTGTTTATCTCCCCTGTGAAGCTGTTGGCCGAGCGGTGATGTCCATGACCCTCTGGATTCCCACTGACGTCACTGCCCCACATTTGGAACCGCTGGTTGTTGACCACACAACTCTCCACATACTTGGTGTTGAGCAAAAGGAGGACGATGCCTGGAACTGTAGAGGCTTCCCCGCTCCCCTGTGCCACAAGGCTGGCAGAAGCTTCACTTGGTCTGCCTTTGGAAGTGACCCCACAGGAGACTGGCTGTGATTTGCCATGCATAACACACACATGTTCAGGCCCCGAATGTCCATTGGCTTAATGCCATAGGGTTTCCCACTCCTTAATCAGGGCCTGAGGCCTGAACAGGTGTTGAGAGAAAAACAAAGAACCCGATCTCCTTCTCATGTAGCCTTCATAGTGACATCATGTGTTGGAGATGAAAAGCTTTCTGCCCCAGGCGCCACTGGTAGCTGAAGACTGGAGTATCCTTCACAAAACAGTCTTCCTTACCTTCAGGTGAATCATCCATTTCTGGCCCTGCATTAAGAGAAATAGATGCCTTTTCCACTGGGTCTTCCAACTTCCTTGCTGGTTAATCAGCAATGCTTGAGGGATTGACTGTTTCATAAGAAGAGTAATATATAGCCAGTCACAGTACAAGGTTGGCAGGAAAGAGCGCGCCAACACTAGCATGATCCCCAGCCCTGACCTGCAGGTCCCTGAGCATCACTAGTGCCCACCTGCCCTTCATTTTGGGAGCCTGAGTCGGGAAGTGGCTGTGCCCTCATGTGGTAACCACTTATTTTGTAGACAAGACAAGGGGAGGCGGAGCAGAGTGCTGCACAGAGCTGCATGGCCATTGTGGAATCGTGGATGGTGGTGTCGCATTACGTGTCCAGCAGCACAGCCTCTCCTGACCAGACCTCACAGGGAGTCGGTATTATGGAGTCAAGGGCATTAGCTCCACGATCTGATGCTGGCTGGAGAAGGGTGCGGCTGGCTGCTGCTGCCTACTTGAGACACAGCCTCGGCGCCGCCTTCTCTGATCTCTCGTAATCCTTCAGATAGCTGTGTGCCTTTCTCTCGTGACTTCCCTTCCACAGCATCAGCTTCGGTGCCCGTGGCTAGGTCCTTGTGATGTTTGTGAGGATGTAATCACTAAGGGCTAGTAACTCTAAAAGAAGACCGATCCCCTTGAGAGTGGAACAAAACCGCATGCCTCCTGTCAGCGGCTTTACACGGACGCCCCGCCCCCACCCCTCCTGTTTCACGCTGCTTGATCTAACTCCCGTGTTCCCAGACCAGGGGCTTAGATCATCCTTTGGTGGGCACCCTCTGTGCCTCACTTCCCTTTCTAAACCTCTTTTGTAACATGGCATGATAACTCCAGAGTGTCCTTATCCTCGGTGAGGCATTATAGTATTGGCGGCACATCTCCCGCAGTCTGTTAAGCAAGGCAAATGGGGTGGTGTGTTTGCCCCAAAAAGATGAGCGGCGTGGGCTGCTGGCTAACTGGGGACGGGTCAATACGCTCTCGATGCTCTTTTAACATCTTCAAAGCTTCGTTCCTCAAGTTCTGTTTATGACACTGTCCAAAAAGGAATGATTTGATGGCGAGGCCAACGAGACGGCCTCCTTCGTCAAGCGGTGTGAGTATCTGGGCATGTCAGATTGAGCCAGGCCCACACCCTGGGATGGCCCCTGACATGGGCATGATGTAAGAGTTATACCTGCCTAGAACCTAGATACCCTAAGTCTCCCCTGTGTTAGAAATGGGCCTCACATGTCCAGTGACCACTTCAGTTTGTTCACCTGCATACCCCTCAGGGTCTAGAAGAGTGCTTGTCCAAGAGTAGATGAACAAAAATTATTTACTGGTGAATAAGCTCCAGGTAATGGGTGCTGTCTATCTGTTGCATGTTATTCGTTTGTACTTGCTGAACACCTGCCCTGAATGGCTGAAAGTGTCTTCAGGAAAACTCACAACCATGCTGACTCATGGCACATTTGTGATCTCAATGTGTACCTCTTCCTACATTTCACCGGTCAGGTCTCCCTAATTTCTTTGCCTCACATTTCACTGAGAATATGGAAGCAATCGAAAGGGAACTTCCACATGTAGAAGCCAGGCGAGCCCACCTGTACCTAGATTTTCCTCCTACTGTAGTGGATAAATTGTCCATGCTCCACTCTGAGGCCTATCCCTCTGTTTGTATCTAGAGTCACCTTCGCATTCTGTTTCTCATGGGCTTCACTTTTCCAGTGGTCCCGTCTCTCTTTTACACCTTAAACATCTGTTTGTCCATTGTATCCTATCTCATTATGTGCTGTAATATCTCACTTTTATGAAACCATCCTTCTCAGTTCATATCACTGCCCAGTCACATCCAGGTTCTCTTCTCTGTTTCACAAGGAAACTTTTTTGAAAGGGTGTGTAAACATTCTGTTCCAAGTTGCATCACTAACTTTCTTTTCCAAAATGTTTTCCCTTGAAATACAGCACAAACACTACACGTGCATGAAACATGAATGTATTTTACTACGAGTTACTAAAAAGAGAACAGCTGAGCCAGATACAAAAGGACAACTATGTTATGATTACATTTATTTGAGGTTCCTCAAAGAGTCAAGTTCAAGAGACAGAAAGTAGAATAGAGGTGACCGGGAGCTGGGGAAAAGAGTAATGGGGGAGTTCTTGTTTAATGGGTGCAGACCTGCAGCTTGGGATGATGAAAAGTTCTGTAAATGGGTGGTGGTGACAGTTGTCCAACAGTGTGAATGTATTTAATGCCACCAAACTGTACACTGAAAAACAGTTAAGATGGTTGATGTTACATATATTTCACTCAGGGAGAGAAATAGCTGTGTGTGTACAACTCCACTGAAGTAATCAACAGTTTCAGCTCCACAGAAGTCACCCATTTACCATTCATTGCCAATCACAAACCCTCCTGCTCCAGAGAGAACCATGATCCTCTCTCTTTTGGTAACTCCTTTCTCACTTCTTAAAAAATTGTTTTGCTTCCTAAATAAGGCATCCCAGAATTGTGGAATTTAGTTTACTTGTCTTTTAGTGACACCTTTATTGAGCTACAACTCACATAGTTTAAAGAGTACAATTCAGTGGTTTGTAGTATGTTCAGAAAATTATGCAGGCATCACCACAGTCGAGTTTGGAACATTTTCCTCAGCCTCCAAGGAAAGCTCTCGTATTCATTATCAGTCCCTCCCCACTCTCCCCTCCCCTGAGCCCCTGGCCACCACTAGTGTACTTTCCGGCTCTATGAATGTCTGTTCCAGGCATTTCATAGCAATGGACTTTCTACCCGTGTGGTTTTCTGTGACTCCCTTGTTTCACCTCGCATCTTGTCAAGGATGAGCCATGTTGTAATATGTGTCCGTACCTCCTTGCGTTTTGGCCAAATAACGCATGCTTTTTGAATGAGTATTTACCGCATTTTATTTTTTGACCCATCAGTCGATGACCATTTTGATTGTGTCCACTTTTTGGCTATTGTGAATAATCCTGCTGCTATGGTCATTTGAGTACAAGTTTTTGCATGGACAAATGTTTTCATTTGCCTTGGGTAGGTTCTTGGGAGTGGAAGTGCTCGGTCCTATGTTAAGTCTGTTTAGCCTTTTGAGGAATGGCCCAACTGTTTTCTAAAGCAGCTACACAATTTTACATTCCTGGCAGCAGTAAGTGAGGATTCCAGTTTCTCCACATCCTCTGACATTCATTCCTGCCTGTCCTTTTGATTTTAGCCATCCTAGTGGATGTAAACTGGTATCTCGTTGTAGTTTTGATTTGCACTTTTCTGATAATTAGTAATATTGCACAGCCCCCTTCGTATTCTTATTGGTCATTTATTTCTTCTTTGGAGAAATGTCTCTTCACATCCCATGCCCTTTTAAAATTGGGTGTCTTTCTCCTTGACTTGTGAGAGTTCTTAATATTGTCTGGGCATTAGTCCCTATCACGTAGATGATCTGCAAGTATTCTCTCCCATCCCGTGGGCTGTCTTTTCACTTCCTCAGTGCTGTGTTTCTCTCCGAGCGGACAGCTATTTCATTTTTCTTCTTCTTTTTTTCCTAATGCGTTAAAACACACAGAACATGAATTTTACCGGTTTTAAGGACACACTTCACTGGTTTTAAATGCATCCATAATGTTGTGCTGCCGCCACCACTATCGATCTCCGGGACTCTTTTCGTCTTTTGACTGAAACTCCATAGTCAATAAACTATACATCCCCAGGGTCTCCTTGCCTCCATCCCCTCGCAACCACCATTCTACTTTCTGTGTCTGTGATTGTGACTACTCTGAGTAATTCCTGTGAGTGGAATCACAACAGTATTTGTCTTTGGGGGACTGGCTTATTTCACTTAGCGTAACGTCCCCAAGGTCCATCTGTGTTGTAGCATGCGTCAGAATATTTTTTCTTTCTAATGGTGAGTAGAAATATTTTTTCTTTCTAAGGGTGTTACATTGTATATGTGTATACCACATTTTGCTTATCCGTTCGTCGCCCGTTGGTGGATACTTAAGTTGCTTCCGTGTTTTAGCCACTGTGAATAGTGCTGCTAAGCACATGACATACAAATATCTCTTCCAGACCCTGCTTTCAGCTCTTTTGGGTATATGCCCAGAAGTGGAATTGCCGGATCGTACAGCAATTCTATTTCCGATCTTTTGAGGAACCGCGACACTGTGTTCTGCAGTGGCTGTATCATTTTACGTTGTCACTGATAGCACACGTGGGTTCCAATTTGCTTCACATCCTCTCCAGCACTTGCTCTTTTCTGGGTTTTTTGACAGTAGCCATCCTCATGGGTATGAGGTGGTACCTCAGTGGACTTTTGATTTGCATTTCCCTAATGATTGGCGATGTAGGCCATTGGTGTATCTTCTTTGCAGACATGTCTTTTTGAGTCTTTGGCCCATTCTTTGAATCAGGTTGTTGATTTTATAGTTGTTGAGTTTTAGGAGCTTCTCTGTATATTCTGGATGTTAATCCCTTCTCAGATACTTGACTTGCAAATATTTCCTTCCATTCTGTGAGTAGCCTTTTTACTGTGTTAATAGTGTTTTTTGGGGGCGCCTGGGTGGCGCAGTTGGTTAAGCGTCCGACTTCAGCCAGGTCACGATCTCGCGGTCCGTGAGTTCAAGCCCCGCGTCGGGCTCTGGGCTGATGGCTCAGAGCCTGGAGCCTGTTTCCGATTCTGTGTCTCCCTCTCTCTCTGCCCCTCCCCTGTTCATGCTCTGTCTCTCTCTGTCCCAAAAATAAATAAACGTTGAAAAAAAAATTAAAAAAAAAATTAGTGTTTTTTGATGCACAAGATCTAAAAATTTTCTTGAAGTCCATTTTGTCTTTTTTTGTTGTTGTTTTCTGTGCCTTCGGTGTCATTAGTTGGGGAAATCTTTGCCAAATCCAGTGCCGTGAAACTTTTGCCTTCTGTTTTCTTCTAAGAGTTGATAGCAAGACAGGTCCTGTGAATGGGGATTTTCTGGGGAAGTGCCAGATGTGTAAGTTAGTAACAGTTCTATGGCCATGGGGCCTTTGAAGAAGCTCCAAACTGTTCTGCCCCTTACACTGGGTGCTAGGCCGCCTGTTTTCACAGCTACTGCTGTTGATAGGATGTGGTTTTTCAAGGCTAGTGGGGACCTGAGGGAGAAGGGGGATATGGGACTAGGGCAATTAAAACTTCACAGAGTTCACTGCTCTAACCAAGATTCGGCTGCTTTACTGTTTCTGTTTTTGAACAAACCGGCTTCACATGGTTCTGTCTTGGATTAATTTTCATACTGGCGAAAAATTGATTTTGACTGTTTTTGCCTGTGTTGTGACTACCTTTATGGAGGAGGGGACTTGGGGGGGACCCTGCTTTAACCATTTGGAAATCTTCCTGTTTTACCTCTTAACTTCATGTGAATTCATAGGAATGCAGTGTGGCCGGCCTCTTTTGCTCCACATGGTATTTGAGTTTACACTTACTCTTTTTGGGTGCCGCCATAGCTCATTCCTTTCCACGTTGTTCTACACTTGCATTTCTCTTTGTGGATCAGTCACAACATTCACTGTATTATCTGTGAACACAGGGTTCTTTTCTTTGGGAATACTATGAAGAGTGCTTCTATGACCATTTTTGTCCAGTAACATGATGCAAATAAGCAGCAAGTTCTAGGGTGTTTGCCTAGGAGTAAAATAGCTAAGTTACAGGGTACTTGAGACAATGAATGTAACTAGACAATAAAAAGTGCTATTTAAAAGCAGCACGGCTGTGTACATTTCTGAAGCAGTTTATGAGCGTTTCCACCGTTCCGCGGCAATACTTGGAGTTTTCAGTTTTATATAGTCAATCTTGGGTGTGTGGTGATATCTCTTTGTGGCTATCTAATCTGTATTTCTCTGAATACTGATGACATTGAACACTTCCACGGATGTTTGTTTGACTCATCCTTTACATCTTGACTCCAGTAGAATGAGCTTTCATTCCCACCCATCCATCCAAACTGCTCTGCTCCCGGATACCAATGGGTAACTCTCCGTTGTCATATCAAACGATCACCACTCCGTCCTCACCTTACGGGCCTATTGACAGCATTTAAAAGATGATGGGTATGTTCTGCCTTGCCTTTTAAAACAATCACCCTGCCCGCTGGGTGGAGAGTAGGCTATTGAGGGGAACCAGGGTGGAAGCAGAGAGACCAGCTAGAGACTCTACAGTTGGCCAAGAGGGAGTAGACGATGGCTTGCAGTGCACTGGAGAGTGGGGTGGGGGCGGTGGTGATAAGAGGTCACATTCTGGATATATGTTGATGATAGAGCCAAGAGAATTTGCGGGTGGACTGGGTTTGAAGTGTAAAACTCTCCCAGAAACACGTTCTTGCTTGGTTTTCAGGACAGTGCTCTCTCCTGGTGGTAGCCCTACCATACCAGCCACTTCTCCCACTTCTTTCCTGAATCCTCACCTTATCAACACCTACACATGGAATGTCCTGGAGCTAAGTCCTCACCCAGTCCTCAGATCTGTTCCTTTCTCTAGCTGCTGTCTCCCTAGAGCACTCCCAGGACAGTGTCAGCCTGTCCCTAGCTTGGATATCATCTCCATACTGACAACTCTCAAATATACATCTGTAGCTGACTTCCCTCCTGACTTCTAGACCCAGTCCTCTCGCTGCCTGCCTGGCATGCCCGCTTAGGTGTGTAATAGGCATCTCAAACTAAACATGTGCAACGGCTGCTCTTTCTACAGTCCTCTGCCCCTCAGTAAATGGCAACTCTGTTCTTGCAGTTGCTCAGGGCGGAGCCACTGGGGTTGTCCTTCCCGCCTTTGTCTCACACTCTACATCTGCTCCCACGGCAAATCCTTTGAGCTCTACCTCATAATCCTCCCAGACTCTAGCCTCTTCTCACCACTGACACTTCAACCACCATCCTCAAAGCCTCTGATATCTCCCACTTGGCAAATCCCAAGGTCTGTAAGGATTCTCTGCTCACGCAGGGGCTCATCGCCCTACCCCTGCCTGTTCCTTGATCATGTAGCATATGGAGTGATCCTTCAGTACTTCTCCGCTCTGGTCACTCCTTTGCTGAAGCCCCTCCATGCTTCCCATCTCCACTGAATAGAAAACATAACTCCTTACCAATGCTTACCAAGTCTTCATGTGATCTGTCTCCACCCACAGCCCTCAACTGCTACTCTCCACCATGCTCATTGTGTCCAGATAATGCTGACCTCCCTGCTGTTCTTCAAACATGCCAAGCATGCTGCCATCTCAGGACCTTTCCACCTAGACTTCCCTCTGCCAGGTTTGTTCTTCCCCTGATACCTGCTGAGCTTCTGCTGTCACCTTCTTTTTTGAAAAAATTGTGTTCATTTTTTTTTATTTTTTTTTTTTTATTATTTAAAAAAAATTTTTTTTTCAACGTTTAT